TTACAGCATTTCTCCCTTTCCCTTTCCTCCCTCCGACTCTTCTATGCATCCCTGCCATGTTCTCTTTTTAAATCCTTGACGTCTGTTTCTTATTTTTTTGTTACACACACATACACACACACACACACACACACACACACACACACACGGAGAGAGTCTACATGTTTATATATTCCTAAATGCATAAATACATCCTGCCCAGTCTATATAATATTACTTACAGGTAATATTATATGTGTATGTATGATTTCAGGGTTGACTACTTGGTTTTGGACAACCAACTGGGGGGGGGCTCTTCCAATGGGAAGACTATTTTCCCCACTCTCAGAATTCCTTACTTGCCTGTAGTTCTTTGTTTAGAGCTGCGACCCCATGAGATTTCCCCCTTCCATGTTAGTATGTCTATTGGTGTAATTTTTTTTCAGGACTTCCTTAGGCAACCAAGTTGATCACACTTCATGGGTATTGCTTCCCTGACATTTCTAGATGAAAATCTCACACTTCCTGTTTCTTTTGTTCTTTCATCTTTCTATCTTCATTTATGCTATGATCTCTGAGCCTTGGGTGCAAGAGATATGTTGTGGATATATCAGTTGAGGCTGGGCACCACATGGCCGTGTGTTCTCAGCATTTGGGTCGGTCGTGGTTTTTTGTAAAGGTTCACATCTGTTGCAAGGAGATGTTTCTTGATGAGGGGTGAGACTTATATGGTAGAAGGATAAATATTTTAAATGTATTTAGGATTATGCTGATTTAATAAAGTGTCAGTTGTAGGTTCTCCTCCAAGATCCATGACTTTCTGGGTAGTTAGCTAGGTTTCCAATACCAAATACAACTTTCCTTTTGTTGAGTGGGTCTTAAATCCAATTAGAGAGCTGCTGGTTACAGCTAAGGCATGTGAGCCACTACTGCACCCTTAGGGATATCAAATGCTGGTCATTTTTTATTTAGAAGGCAGCGTAGCTGGGTAAGACTATTGGGTGGTTCCTTCCCTGGAAACTTACATGGAACAATATGCTTGTTCAGAAGTGATTTTGATCCTATGTTGACTTTTTGAGAATAGCTCCAGATGTCTAAGAATTAAATATGCAAAGGAAAGCAATGTCTTTGCTTTCCAACAAAGACATTGGAAAGCAATGTATTGGAAGAAGCACACACACACACACACACACACACACACACACACACACACACACACACACTGTGTTGCTTGCTACCCTGTGTGGATACATGAGCACTTTTTAAGAGAGTCCTCTTTCTCAAGACCCTCACTTCTTATTTGATAAGAAACAGAACTGCAGCTGAGCACGCCTGTAATCTTAGTAGTTCTGAGGTTAAGAAAAGAGGATTGAGAGTTAGTCCAAGGCCAATTGGAGTTAGGTGGTAGAGAAGAGGTATAGAGGGAGAGAAGGAGGGACTAGAATCATGTAAAAACTATATGTACTTACACATGTATACTAGTTATTCATATAAAATAACAACTTTTCTGTAAAAGAAACAAAATAACTTAATCTGAGACAAGTCTAAGTGACCACACATTGTGTAGAAATTTCCTTCAAGTTAAAAATTCTATCCCAGAGGCAGCTTGACAGCTCTCTTGAGTCACCCTTTTGAGGTGGGGTTTGGGTGATGTAGCTGCCTTTGAGCTTTCCATGCTCCTGTAGGTAAGTCCTCACCCATAGTTCTGAAGACAACTTCAGCAAACTCATTGAACCAAGGTGAACTTTGATGGTGTCATTGCTTTGTTTTGTCAGTTTCCTGTCCAAGGTGAGTAGACTTGTCTCCCCAGGATGTGTCACACTACACCAGGGACATGGACTTTAAGTTACCCCAAATGACACATTGCAAAATGAAAGTGGTTGTATGAACTTTCTTTACTCAAGGGAAAAGGACAGGTATAATCAATATAGTTAACAAATAAATCAGTGGTAGTGTCAGGTGACCAGGATATAGTGAACCCAGCAAACCTTTCCAGGAGTTTTCAGATGTTACAGCACTTGGTAGAGGTTTATGATTTGCTAAATTTAATCATGCATTCAAGAAAAGACACAAAGGCTATAGGTAAATTGTTATTTTTCTAAAGGGCCCTAAACAGCCAGAGGTTCTTTTATCTTTTGATATGTGTTGGGATTAGTTTTTCACCAACTTGAAACAGGGTAGATTCCTCCGGGAAGAAGGAATTTCCAATGAGAAAACGCCTCCATCCGACTGGCCAGTAGTCAAGCCTTTATGTCATTTCCTTGATTAATGATTGATATGGCAGGGCCCCACCCAGAGTAGGCAGTGCCGCCCATGAAGATGTGGTTCTGGTTGCTGTAAGAAAGTAGGCTGAGTGTAAGCCAAATAAACCCTTTCCTCCCCATGTTGCTTTTGGTCATGGTGTTTATCAAAGCAATAGAAAACAAAGTGTATCATTTCCTCTGTACAATCTGTATGTTCTACTGGACCGGGTAGGGAGAAACATATTGTGCAAAGTTTCTAAACCCTGATAAGCCTCTCTGCCATGCAGCAATCGTTTAATGGATAAAACGGTCCTGGATGATTTTTCTGGCCCTGCAGATAGGAGCCGGTGAAGAGAGACCAAAACAAAAACAAAAACAAAAATCCAACCAATCAAACACACAAAAACCAAACAATACAAAAATAAAATAAAAAAAACCCAAAACCCCATATGTCTGTTTTCTGAGGGGCAGTTTAAATACCCTGTGGGAGTGGTCTTGAGCATCTCTGGGGGAGGGGTCATCACTTGGCTGCCTTACTGAGAGGCAGCAGGGTTTGGAGAGAGAGGTGGGGGAAGGGGTTTGAAGTGGAGCTTCCGCCAGAACATATTGGAAAACATCCATACACACAAATATCAACATACAGGCAAACATGCACCCCACGAAAAGACAGGGATACACTGAGCTCCTAATATGCCAGTTGCTTTGTAGACATTAAACTATGTTGTTTTACCTCCATTTATGTAATCGAGAGTGTGTTTGTCTGTTTTGTTTGTTTTTACAGTGCAGGCTCAGAGCAGTTACACAACATACTTAAAGTTATGTCAGCAAAATCAGAGTCTGGAATGGCGACTTTATGACCCAAAGCTAATGTGTCAAAACCCACTCATTATTATTAGAGTCTCTTTAAATAAAACTCAACAAACATTCTTGTTAATCATGTCTTTACCTGGTTACCTCGGTCTTAATATCATTCATACCCTTTCCCAGTCCCATCAACACAAATCACTCAGATTTAGGGGTTATAGCGGTTTTGCTAACAAATCATCAGACAGCAAATATACTTAAAAAATTGAAATTTTAGGTATGAGCAGAACACGGAAGCCTTCAGAGAAAACTAAATCGATAAAAGAGAAGAATGGAGCTAAAGAGATTTCTCAGAGGTGAGAGTACTTGCTGCTCTTCCACAGAACCCAAGATCAGTTCCCAGAAACAAGGGGCTCACAACCACCGATTAACTCCAGTTTTAGGGGTCCAATGCTCTTTGCCGGCTTTTGAGGGCACTAGCACTCACATAGCATGTATTCTCACATATACGTTAATAATTTAAAAAAAAAATAAAGAAGAGAGAAGAAAAAAGGGAAAGGGCATTCGGGTTCTTCTTCCTCTACTTTAAGGACCTCAACCA